CGTAGCGTCTGAGTCGCCGCCCCTCCGCCACAGCATAGCGTCCGAGTCGTCGCCGCCCCTCCGCCGCAGCACAGCGTCTGAGTCGCCGCCCCTCCGCCACAGCATAGCGTCCGAGTCGTCGCCGCCCCTCCGCTGCAGCGTAGCGTCTGAGTCGCCGCCCCTCCGCCGCAGCGCAGCGTCTGAGTCGCCGCCCCTCCGCCACAGCGTAGCGTCCGAGTCGTCGCCCCTCCGCCACAGCGTAGCGTCCGAGTCGCCGCCCCTCCGCCGCAGCGCAGCGTCCGAGTCATCGCCCCTCCGCCGCAGCGCAGCGTCCGAGTCACCGCCCCTCCGCCGCAGCGCAGCGTCCGAGTCATCGCCCCTCCGCCGCAGCGCAGCGTCCGAGTCACCGCCCCTCCGCCGCAGCGCAGCGTCCGAGTCATCGCCCCTCCGCCGCAGCGCAGCGTCCGAGTCACCGCCCCTCCGCCGCAGCACAGCGTCCGTGTATTAAAGCTGTGTTTACGCTATGGAAAAATCGACGAGATGAGTTTCCAAACGTTCTATCAACCTCTCTATCAGATGTTCAAATTTTTACGTTATTGACCGCGATTCAGCAAACGTTTAAGCCACAGTGCGCATGGGACGACACGGATACGCATTTTTGCACATATTAATTCACGCCAGTGTGGCCCCTGGGTGGAGGGACACACTTGATTTCTATTATCAGAGTGGCTGAGTGGCAAAAACTTGGTCAACTCTCGCTGACCGAAAATTGAGAAATAAGATCATATTCTAATCTCTCGACTAGTGGCTATCCCCTCGTTGAGCGCTTACACTGCCGACTTTCGGTTGATTAGTAGTAAAGTTTTATCATCTCGATCCCGTACGGGATAGCAACTACAGTTGATAGCACACTGTCGCAAATTAATACGTGCAAGAATGCGTATCCACGTCGCCCCTCACGCACACTGCGAGTCAAATGTTGAAACGTTTGTAGACTCGATTTTGGTCGATAATGTAAAAACTTTGAACATCTGATGGAGAGGTTGATAGATCGCTGAAAGGTTTATCAACTCGTCGACTTTTCCATAGTGTAAACCCAGCGGCGTTACTGAGGTGCTGACTGTTGTTGCAGAGCTCTGGAGGAAGGTCTGGTTGACCTGGCCGAGGCGGAGAAGCTGAAGGTGGAGCAGATGCAGAGAGAGCGCAGGAAGAACAGGGAGGAGTCGAGCATCGAGTACGAGGCACGCTGGTTCAGGTACAGACGAGCCACACTAGAAGCTGCACTGACTACCTGTCTATCTACCCACCTCTGTCTGTCTGTCTGTCCGTCTGTCTGTTTGTCTGTCTTGTTTCATTTTGCCTGTCTATTTGCCTATGTGTCCGTCTGTTTGCTTATACCATTTGTCTATCTGTCTCACTGACCGCTGGTCTCTTCGTCCGTCAGTCTCTCTGTCCGTCCACCTGCTCGACCGTCTGTGTGTCCATCTCCCTGTCTTGTCTGTCTGTCTGTACATCTGTCCATCTGCCTGTCTGTTTGTCTGTACATCTGTCCATCTGCCTGTCTGTTTGTC